CGAGTCCTCAACGGTCTTACTTCCCTGCATAGCCCCACCTGTTAAATCCAGAACACCAATCTCAGCCTCGGTGATATGAATGGTTTATTTCGAACATACTGGGTTTATATACAAACCAAAAGAAGAAAAAGACAAAGAAAGAAGTAAATTTTCAATGTTCCTGCTGATTAGATATTTCAATGAAGAAAAAAAATAGAAAAGGAAAATGATATTCTTTTTCTAATGAAAATCTATTTCTCATTCATATTATGTAACAAATCTGATGATAATAATAATTGTCATCATTGATATTCACATGTCATTAAAAGAATTTTAATTATGATTGTAATATATTCCTATTGATGTTGACAGATATAAGTAGTATGTATCATTAATTAAAAGTGAAATACCTTATATCAGAAGATCAAGAAAAACGAAGAGAAAAAAATGAGTACAAAAGATGATAAGTGTAGAAACAAAGGAACAATGAAGTTTGACATAATTGATTGACATTTTACAAATGAAGTATATACTGTAATGTTCTCGGGTCGACATATGAATTCAATTATTAAAATTATTACAATCTCTACAAATCCCCAAACTGATAATCATTATGTGCTCATTAGTGACTAGCTTAAAGATGGATTTTATAGAGTTCTAGTAAGAAGCCATGATCAGTGGAGACTAATCCGTGTCGGATATGAGGCAGTTATCCACTTCCGGCAATCAATGAAACATTGCATAAGATCATGGATCCATTGACATCAACATCGTTGATTGACGGCTCAGTAGTCTAGATATTATTCATCCACACAGGATACACAAAGTTCTGGGTCCCAGTTCCTTCAGCGTGACATGGTGGATGTGCACTACTGAGCAGATCAATACTAGAACTAAGCGGTCATCCAGTGCTTCCATATTTCTAATGCTGTTCTAACATTGATCGGTTCATGATCCGAATTAGAACTCAACAATTTCCACAACACTACACTGATAAAATATGATTGATTTCAAAATTAAGCTTCCCCTTCTATTATGATATGTCCATTTTTAATTATCAATGTTTCAACTACAGATATTTATTCCCTATTAACTCTTTATTCGATTACATAATGAATAGATTTCAAAACACTCCATTTTATAAAATCAAATTAATTCAGTAAATTATATCAGACTTTTTCTTTAATACTTCTGTTTTTAATGATAATTTGATATTTCAACTAATTCCTTCCTTTTCATTTTAAATAAGATCAGTTTATCTGAAACATTGATCAATCTTTTCTAACATTGTCAATGTTAAAAGAGTTGATTAGAATTAGTGTGTACGTGAATAATACTGCGGTGTGTGTTACTGATGTTGACAGATATAAGTAGTATGTATGATCAATCGAAAGTGAAATACATGACGGGCAGATGATTAAGAAGATCGAAGAGATGTCAATGAGAACAAAGGATGATTGGTGTGGAAACAAGGGAACAATGTAATGTGAGACAAATGACTGACATTTTACAAATGAAGTATTCACTGTATGGTACTTAGATTTGATTAGGGTATTCTATAATTCTGTATTCGAACACATTTGATTGTCCCACTAGTTCGTTCTCGTTCATTACATTATCTGTTTGATATAAAAGTACACTTCTGATAAAAAAGTATATCAGAAGGGGTATTGTGTATATTATAATAATTTCAATGGTCTAGCTTCAATTGGATCATGATCTCAACCATTGGAAAAAATATATATTCAAATGTAATTAAAAGTTAATTTTATTATGATTGGGAATATTCCATTCGTGTACATCGAAAGTTTATGTCACCAGTTTGTAAATCAGACAGAATTAGTGATCAATATGAATCGTCACCTCGTTCTCATCTCATGTTAGTATAAATAAATATGAGAGTAATGGGATTTGTAGTGGCGCAAAATGAAAAATATTGTTAAAACTTAGAAAATGAATAAAAATAAATCAGTTAATAGTTCAGATCATGAGTCAATTAAACCTAGACCACCATGGAAAACCTGGAAGCACTTGACGGCCATTTTATCCTTATCAGTGCTTATCCACGATCTCGCCTCGCAGGACTCGAACCCAGGGCCTATTGGTCTCGCGGGGGAACGCCTAACCTCTAGACCACTGAATCGGCCGGCGTCCGACGGTGTTAATGTTTAATTTCATCCAATGAATTTATGTAATTGATAACATAAAATAGTTTGAAACTGTAATTTCAATAGTCTTCAACATTAACATTACTATTTTTGATGTCAGCTGAGTTTAATTTAATGCTTAGAAAAAAATCGATGTAACAGCATATCATCTTATTATGTATAAATTCAAACAATAGCTTGATATACAACAAGTCGATTGGGTACACTATACATACCTCAAATGTGTAGATTTAATTAATGAATAAGATGAAGATAATAGAAAGTTTATAATTGATTAATCACTAAGCAAAATGATCGATATCATGTTTACTTAGTTTTTTTAGTGTTGTTCGAATTCTTTCGATTACGTTATGATGTGATCACTAGTCTGAATAATTTGAGATCGTTTGCATCGTGTTGACATATTACCTGATTGAAGGCAGCTTCAAGTAAATTTTGATAATGAGTGAGCGCAAGCAAGAAATCTAGGTAAATGGTTTTCTACCAACTACCCACAACCACTTGACAAAAAAGAGATCACGTGGATTATATCAGTACAATAGCATGGTTACAACTCATCTATATGCCTACTTTTAAAGTATTATAGGAGAAAATCTGAAAAACCATGATGTGTGATATTATACAGTAAATATTCAAGAGTACTAAGATGTATCAAAACAGAATGAATTAATAATTCACTTTATTTAGTACTTTTCGAAATTAAACTCAACAGAAGCTTGTTTACAATCAACCACAAGCGGATTGTTCTACAAAAATGATCTATATGAGAAAGGAGATTTGTGGATACTATAGTAATTTCAGTGGTTGAAATCATGAGTTAATTGAACATAGACCACCATGGGAAACCTAGTGGCGCTGGTTAGTGTTCTTGGTTAGTATTTTTTGCGCGTTAGATTTCTACAGAATGGGGTTGCTAACCCTATGCCCAACCCTCCCGCTTTCTCCGCGCTTGGGACCGGCAGTAGCCCCTGATGCACTAGAAAGCCGTTTAAATTGCTATATAATCCCAAAGCCCCTTTCTGATATTAATCAACATATGCTCACTAGTGACTGGCTTCAAGAGATATTTCCTAGAGTTCTAGTGAATAGTGTGGTGGACCAAAAATATATTAACTCAAAAATGGCAATAAAGTTATTACGTCCAAATATTAATGTTATAATATATCAGTTATGTTATAAACACAAATAAAAATTAAAGGACGTTACTTAAATTGGAAAGCATGTGCGTGTTCGGGTTGCGTTTGGTACAGGAATCCACAATTATAAATAATTAATAATCCCGATGCGGTTGTTATGGTTCTAGTAATATTAGCTAGACGTAGAATATAATGTAAATGTGGCTGCAGTTTATAAATATAGATAATAGATATATCCGAGTTTAGTTATCATAACCACAGTCAATGGAGAACGAGAGATATGTGTATAGTAGTGTATTTACGAGCAGGTAACAGCGTGTATCGTGCTATGAGAGTCACACAACGGAAGAATGAGTGTTCAAGGTCATGCACTTGAACAACATGAACAATCATTTTGTGGTAAATGTAAAAACTGTGAAAATTAACAAAATAAATGCAAATAATATCAGAATCTATTTACAAAAACAGTTTGTCATGCTCATCTCCACAGAAGCGGTAATCAGTGGAGTTCAACAAGATTTGTTGTAAGATAATAACTCACTGAAGACAATGGTGTACATATCGTTTAATTTCGTGGATTAGTTGAATTTGGACATTAACACTGTTGAACATCTGCCAGATTAGTGGCTTGGAGACTGATGTGTTCTGCGTTCGAATCTCTCTAGATGGGACCGTGGTGTGCACTGCTGAGGAGTGCCACAATAGGACGAAGCGGCTGTCCAGTGCTTTCAGGTTTTCCATGGTGGTCTAGCTTTAATTGATTCATGGTCTCAACTGTAAAAAACGATTTACTTCGAAGGCGTTGACCAAGTTTTAGAAATGTATTTTTTTAACACCACTACTTCTACTGTAATATTATAGGATTGTATGAAAAATGTTTAGGAACATTTTAAGCTGCTTAAACATAGTTTTAACTAAATTTCTTCATCAGTAAAATACCTATGAATTATATAACTTTATTGCATAACTTAACACAGTTATTTTCATAAATGAACCATACTTTGGTAGTTCAATTGCAAATCATCTCTAAGACCTTTCTGTTTGACAATTTGATGAAGAAATATTTATATTAAACAAATCCCCAGTATGAGATTGTTGAAACTGTTGAGTTTTTTTCATTGAGATCCTGAATCGATCAATGTTTGTTTTGTCTTAAAGGTAAAGAAACAGAGAGTGAATTGAGCATATTTCACACTAGTTGGATACTTATAGTTGAAATACAATTGAGCACAAGTTGTTCATGATTTTATGTGAAATAGATACCATCAAATCAATCAGATGAAATTGAATTATTCACAATTCCAACATCAGTCTACTATAAAGACATCCACTTTGAATTGAATTGATCTCTATAAATAAGCTAACTGAACGACAATCATGTGCTCACATATTACTGAATTCCATATGAATTCTTTACCATTACGATGAAGTAAAATCTTATAACTGGTAGTAATAGATTATATGCTAGCTGTGTCCAAATAGATTATACATAAACATGATCAATGTAATGATGACAATTTGTTGGAAGAGGTACTCGAACCCAGGACCTCCTGTCTCGATTCCGATTGTTCATCCAACAGTATCGATATCTAACTTCAAATTAACAACCCTTCATCCATTGTCTGTGGTAAATAACTGTCTCACATCTGACACGGACTAGTTCCACTAGTCATAGCTTCTTACTAGAACTCCAAGAATTACCTCTCCAAGTAAGTTACTAATAAACACATAGTAATTATCAGTATGAGATTGCTGGGATTTCTTATCAATTCGTTAATTTCTATAAAACAAAAACAAATCGATTATATAATCATCATAGATTAAATAACTCATTAAAATGAAACTTTTAAAATAAAATTTAACCAATAAAATAAACAAACAACAATAAAATATCTATATATGAATGAGTACAAAAATACTAAACAATGTATATCATCAGTAATATAAGAGAATTCCTTTACCCCCCCCCCTGAAATTGAGTTTAAATTGACTTTTTATGCCGTTTATCATGTATAACAGTTTGAGTAGTGTATTGTGGTTGTTGTTTATTTTCTTCATTTATTTCATCTAATCTATTTGTATTATTTATATTACTTAATGATATATTATTATAATTTCTTTTAGATGGCATTGAAGTTGATGTTGATGGCGGTGTAAACGACGACGACGATGATGTTGATGTTGATGGTAAGGATGATGTCATCGGTATTTGATTTTTAGATAAATTTAATTTTGTTTGTTTTTTTAAATTTAACATTAATTCACGATTACGTTCCAATAAAATATTTAAAAATTGTTCATTAAATTCTGTTTGTTGTTCCATTATATTTGGTAATATTGATTTACGTTTAGAATTTCTTGATATCATTGTTTCTGATAATGGATTAATAGGTTGTTGATCAATATTATTATTATTGTTGTTATTGATTGATTGATTAATTATATCATCATTTTCTAATTGATTAGTTATTGTAGATGATTTTCTATGTTGATATAAATGTTTTATTCTTTCATATTGTTCATTATTATTATTGTTATTATTATTATTATTATCAATAAAATCATCTGGATAAGTATTAAGTATATCATTAACTGATTGATTACTAGCCCTTCTATTATTATTATCATTATTATGAATCGTTATGTATTGATTATTAATGATTGGTAATTGATTCATAAGATATTTATATGTAATTGATTCAGGTAAATCAGTTAATAAACATTTTGATTGCATAGGACGTATTGTTGCATAATGTAAACGTAATGAAATTTTTTCATAAATTTTAAATAATTTCTCATTATAATATTCTGGATTATTTTGTAATATACGACGTATATATTTTTCATCAATATGTTTAATAAAATCTCTTAATACATTACGACGTTTACAATTAATAATAATTTCAATACCAGTTAATAATTCATCAATAATATTTGTATTTAATGATTGAAATAAACTAATAATTTTTTTATTTTCCATACGAATATGTAATAATTTCACTAATGGTTTCATTGTAATACCCATAATACCCACAGTAAATAATATAATAAATAATGTTGTTGTAACAATTAAACTTTGATTCTCTTCACCATTTTTACCTAATATATCAATTGGTATTAAAATAGCTAATGAAAATGCAACTGCACCACGTAAACCACCATAAATTAATACAATTTGTTCTTTAATTGTAATTTTTATATCATCTATATTAATAATATTAACAATAGATGTCATAATTAATACTATAATACAACGTGCTATTAAACATATAAATAATGACCATAATATATAACCAGTATGCCATTTTAGTGTTTCACCAATAATTGATATACCTAAAAATAAAAATATTACTGATTCACTCATTTCTGCAATAACTCTTACAAAATTATGTACTGTAATACGTGTTTGTGAATCAACATTATGAAATGCATATGCAGTTTGTATTAGACCACAACCAATCATTGATATAATCCCTGACCAACCAACACAATTAGCCATAATATATGAAAAATATGCTAATAATAATATTGTAAATACAGATAAATGACTACGTATTCTTGTAATTAAACATGTTATAATACCAAATAATACACCAATTAATAAACCACCAAAACTTACAGTAAAAAATGATGCAATACCAATACCAATTTGTGAACCAGTTATATTATCTTTACCAGTAAATGCAATCATTATTTCATATAAAACAACAGTAATTGCATCATTTAATAATGATTCACCAAATACAATATAATATAAATTTAATTCTAATCCAATATCTTGAAAAATAGCTAGCACAGCAACAGGATCTATAGCAACAATTAATGAACTAAATAATAAGAAACTATTTAAATCTAATGTAATCTCTGGATAACCTAATGCACCACCAATATATAAACCATACATAACAAAACCAATAATTAAAAAATTAAATATTGTACCAAGTACAGCAAATAACATAACAGTACCAAGATATTCAGAAAATGTACGATTATATAATCCATATGCAGATTCTAATATAATTGGCGGTAATAAATAATTAAAAAATATTTCAGGTGTAAATTTCCATGATGTAATTTTAATTGAACCTTGATCAATACCATAACGTACTATCACACCAAATATAATACCAATTAATATAAGTATAAATGATTCTGGTACATATGATGATATATATGGTATATGATGATAAGCTATTTTAATAAATACTACTGATAATAAAAATAACATTACAGTAATATGTACTTCATATTCATTAAATTTCCATTTTACTACAGATATCTCTTCATGATTTGATGCATTCATATCATTGATAAATGTGAATAATAGTAATGATAAAGAGATCAAAGATGTAGATAAATGATAATTTATAACAGATCTACATTTATTTTTTAATACAATCATAATGATCAAGATATTTGTTGGCTTTTTGTTTTGTATTATTCAAACCAATATTAACTGTTACAAATTGCAATTGAATGTTCTACATATATACATATATACCCATTCAATGATAGTTACTCATTATATATATATATATATATATATATCCATGTATATTATTGATTTAATCATAATATTTTTGAGTAAATTCAATTATTATTAGTTCTTTATGTATCTATCAATCTTTATCATGATATTCAAATATATTGAATATTGAAACAAAACATTGTTTTAATCATATATATATAATAGTTTAGGCAATAAATTTAAAGTAATTTTCTTTTTCGAATCATGTCATAATAATGAAATATTCAATTTTTTTTTTGTTTTACTGATGTAACCATGTGATGTCCTACATTATGTTTAGTTTAATTAAAATTACTGTTATGAAATTGTTGTTACCTAAATTTATTTTATTTTTTTTGTATTTTTGACAGTGTTCAACATACATTTCTCCCTTTTTTGATATTTACAATTATAATTTGAAAAAAAAAACTAAAAAAATACTTTTACAAAATCATACAGAATGTAAGTGGAAAGAGCAAACATACAAACAAAAAAAACGAATGAACTTACGAAATAAACCTGTTCATATCTATCAGTATGATACTGAATTGGTACTCAATTTTTGCTTTTGTTTTCATTTGTTTATCATTCATTGTATTTTCGTACAATGGTAAAACGATATATAATAGTGTTATTTAATAATTCTGTATTTAAATAAAAATTTATCATTTTTATTTGGTGTGAAGTTTGAACTTAAATGATTGTAGGTATCATTACTAGAGTTTGACTTGATAGATACGAATAAATTGAGTATTGGATAGATTGATATAAAATAAATGAATTCAAGTTTAAACTTGGATTAATTTTGATTTGGTTATTTATTCTCTGAAGAAGTGGCTTATATCATGTTACGAAACGTCAGAAAATTTAATTTTTCTATTCATTAAGATATTACAAATATATTAATTCATTTATAGAAGTTAGATTGTTTTATTATTGAATTACCAAAGTTCTTTTATTATAAAATAGTTGATTAGTTCCTAAGTGTTTATTTTCTGCTTAGTTACATCGTTTACTTGTTCTATGATTTGATGAAAATTAAAACAAAATTGACAAAGTTTTGAGGATCTGTGAAAATTGTAACGTTTTCATCGGTGAATTCACGAGTTGGTTTAAGCTAGACTGTCAATGGAAACCTGAACGTACTGGAAGACTGTTTCGTCCTAGTAGTCAACTGCTCAGCAGTGTACATTCATGATCCCACACACGGGACTTGAACCTAGGACATTCAGTTTAACTTCAATTTATCCATGATCTTGAGCAACACTTCATCCGTTGCCAGAGATGAATAACTATCTTACACTTGAAACGGATTAGCTTCTTATGGTCATAGCTTCTCACAAAAACTCCAAAAATTACTTCTCGAAGCTAGTCACTGGTGAGCACATGATCTTGGATGCGCACTACCGAGGAGTCCCATACTAGAACGAAACGGTCTTCTAGTATTTTAAGGTTTTGAATGGTGTTCTGTCTTAAATAGGCTCGTCAAATCAACTTTAAAAATTGTGAAAGTGTTATGTTTCTGGCTGAATAACTGCCTTAGCCTAATTTATACGTAAACAATAGATCAGTCAATCTGCACAATGTTATTCAAATTACATACAACGCACTAGGTACGTTTCTCACCAGGTCGATACTTTGCAATCATTCAAGGTGATTAATAAACGACCAAACTCTATTCTGAAGTTTGCTAAAGCTGTTGCCTTTAGGCATCAAAAAATCAGATGGTTATTCATCTTTCCTCGCCATGATGACAAAGATTATTTCGTCACATCTTAAACTTTTTAAACCTCTTTCTTGTATTTATTACATTGTTGAAATTTTATTTCAACTATCTTCCAGATTAGTAATCCTATTTTATCAACTGAGCTCTAATCATTTTATTCCTATCAACGTTTACTTATTATGTAATTACTTGTTTCTGGCCGTGTGAAAAGTTGTCACAATTAATGTTGTAGAATGTTCTTTTACTTAAGGTATATATATTTATTTACACCCTCATTATACTATACTGAAGTATCTTCAACATAACTTCCGACTAAACTCTTTCATTTAAACAATTTATACCCATTATGTAAATATGATTTCTAAATATCACAGGTTGTAAACGATTGACGACAACCAAATAAAATAAAATGATTTCATGCAATTCTGTTAGAATTTTTGTTCTAGATCGTTTCATAGAGATTTGTTTGATTAGTATTCAATTCTGAAGGGAATAATCCTTTAAGAATGGTATAACACTTTGATCGTAAGAATCAAATACATAAGAATACAAGATTGGGGATTGCTTTTTGCTGTTTATATTTATCATGTAACATAATCAATGTAGATTTGTCTTGCTTCAATCCATAACTACTTAGAAAAAATAAACAATTGATCTGTTTTGTCAGATTAAGACTTAGAAATGTAGCATTCAGAAATGTATCCATTCACAAGATCACAATCTAAATATATACATATATATTCGAATTACCGTTTTTAAATATCAATGATTACTCAATGATATCGATTTCCGATAAAGCTCACCTTAGAATACATAATTCTATTTTAACATTATTAACCTTGAAATAAACAATGTCATATTATTAACCTTTAAATTCCATAAAACTCTGACATCTTTTATCATGTGTTGAGGTTTAAACCACAAGTTAACGTAGTACCTAAAGATATTTTGCCCAACGCTCAAAGCAAATTTTTTTATAATTTGAAAAACAATTGAATACCAGATATCATAATGAAGTACTAAACATATGCACTATCATTTTGACCCTAGATACATTGATTAGAATGTTTTATATCGGGCTCTCTAGTTTAACATTTTAACATTCAACTATTTAATCGAAACCAATAATTTAAATACTTTTTACATTTATTTTGTACTCTGATTGACATTAAACAACATTGGTAAGTCTTCGTTTTTTGAGTACGCGTTCGAGTGCGAGACCGATAGGTCCTGGGTTCAAATCTTACGTGTGGGATCGTGGATACGCACTACTGTGGAATCCTATGCCATGACGAAACAACCGTTTAGTGTTTCCAGGTTTTTCATGATAATCTAGCTTTAATTGACTCATGAATCCAACATTTTATTTTATTTATTACCATATAGGATTTACACTGAAGTGTCTTTTAAAAATATCACCTAACACCACGGTAAAGTTCACCGGTGAGTCATGTATTTATACTCAATAATTTTGATGTTTGATTATATTTTCCCAAAATCGTTTGGACCAGATTGACAAAAGGAACTTTGAATTTACTGACAGTTTAATCAGTGAGATTTTTACAAATGTAATTTCGATTTTTGGTTTCCAACATTTTATGTGCCTCATTTACATTACTGATTTTTATCTCCTACTTTATAGTTTTAACACAACTCCAGGAGCTTACAAAGCTTATTATTTGTTGGTATAAATAACTTTTATATATCCATTTCAGGAATTATTCTTCTTTGATTGTACACTGACGTAGGAAACACTGTAGGTGTCTTACGAATTGTGGTTAGTAAATGTATTCAATATATTTTCCTAATAATGGTATAGTACTTCAGATAAATGCCGAACTTTTATCGCTAGTTTCTAGGTGTCACTTAATGAAATAGTCACAAATTTGGATAAAAATCAGAGATCAATTTTATCTGTTGACATGTCGATAATGAATTCTTTCATGATGTTAATTGTGTTTGTCTTTTATTGTCATTTCTTTCCCAAACGATCACATTTATTTATATTAACTATGTTACTTATTCATAAACAGTAGTTGAAAATTACAAAGAACATATGTACAGGGTCATCACACGAATTTTCATAGCTTATACCTCTTCAGTACAAAATAGATCACTAATGATGTCACAGATTTTGAATCAGAATCTTATGTTCAGATGACAGTTTGGATAATGAAATTAATAAATTAAAGAATATCTATGAAATGATGGCTATCCTGATAATTTAGTCAAAAAATATGTGTCAGAAAGGATTAATATGTCAAAATCCGATACGGTCAGCAAGAAAACTCCTTATCAGTTCAACTGTTCCTGAAGAGCTAGTTACACATACAATACTTACAAGGCTTTATTTTTGACTACTTGTCAGGAATTAACAGCACGGTTGGCAAAAGAAGTTAAGAAATCTATTCATAACCTCATGCTTTCTCACTTAATGTGTAGCGAACGTTATACTAAAATAAATTAATTTATCTCTGTTTTATATCATGTTCCAAGCTATCTACTGAAAAGCGAAAGATTACAATTCTATGCGGCTGAAGTCATCGGGATCGACTCCTGAAGACTAAGCTTATGTATCCGAAAGTGGTATATTCATCCTCTGTGTTTACCTTAGTCCGCAATTAAATCACCATATACCTAAGGTAGACTATATAAACCACTCACCTTCACCAATTACCTTTACGCTTATATCTGCCATGTCCCATTCTTATTTTACGCACTTTTCTTTCACACTCTGCATTAACGTCTTATTTTAGAAACGCATCTCGTATTACATATTATACTCACACGACATATTATTATTATTACCATAATTATTATTATCTCCGTAAACCAGACATAGTTTCACATGGTTTATATTATTTGAGACCTCACAACGAATCATCCTGACCCTATGTAAATGATCTTTCTAATTTAGAAACGATACAATTTTGGAGCATTTATGCCGAGGTTGATACTTATATATCACAATGTTTACATCACATAAACAGGGCTT